CCTGCCAGTGGGCGAGTAGAGCAGACTAATATGTCAGCTAGAGCCAAAATGGAATGGTGATTTTGGCTTGCTTCTGGTTTTAAGCTTCCTTTCTCATTCTAAAGCTTTAATCTCTGAAATGCCACAATGTCCGGAAGACTTATTTGCTTTTACATTGGGTTTTTGTTAGGCCTCTATATACTTTTCAACAAGGGTTAATGCACTTGCTTACAAAAGAAAGCTAGTATTACAAGCTGTGGTCTTTAGCTGGGTAAACAGACAATGTGACCAATGTGAGGGTTTATGCCCTAAAGGGTTACAGGAAACATATTTGATACTAAAGCACAGCATCTGGTGATTAAATCAACAAAACTAGAACTCCCTGAAAGGCTAGGAAAAATGGCAGCCCACCATTCTGTCACATTCAGGCATGCATCTCTAGTGGACATCCCCTATCTTGCTGTTTCTAATTATTCTAGAAATCTATAGTATTTTTTGCACTATCAGCCTACACACGTTCTCCCTGCAGCGGGGGATCATGCAAACAGTGACAAATGGTTCTAAATAGCCTTCCACACCTCTCCATGCTTTTTTTTTTTTCAGTTCCATCCTTACCATTAAAAAATGTACCTCTGTTTTTAAAGACCTCAACTTAATCTTGCCTGAACTCTATTTTATTCTCAGTTTTCCTCATCTTCCAAAGCAGATTCCATGGTGACAGCTTGGTTGCTCTCGATACCACTTAAGTCTCCCTGGCATGCCGATGCTTGCACATGTTTGTGCTCAAATCAGATGCGCATGTTTTTTTATCTTGTTCTCACTTCCATCTCATCACATATGGACACTTGGTCAGGAACACTTTATGGGGATTCCTAAGTGAGCTTAGTTTCCTTTTACACATTACTATTTCATGTGCAAAGCAGTCTGATACAGTAAGTCCCGAATGCTCACTGGGGGTCAACTCGCACTTGTTAAACATGTCAATCTGGTTACCTAATGTTAAATGTTACAAAACAAGAAGTGTGTAATGCTGTACAATATTTCCATTAACCTAAGCAAGTGGTTTAGAGGTCTAAATTTGAGTAAAAATGGATCATCACTTTATTTATCATTTCCACTTACTGAAAAAGCCCTGGTAAACAGATTTAGCTGTTTTCACTGGCCTGCAGTCAACAATCTATATATTACGTGTTTCTAGTGATCTTTTTCAAAGTCAAATTTCTATCCCACTTTAGTGTTTATTCAAGAAGGGAATGCCTATTTTCGTTGGCCTTTGGGTCCCTGATATCCACCATCCCTGTATCCCAGCAGAAAATAAAGAGGAGTGGGCAAGGGGTGAAAGGCAATCTGGATGGAAATAGGTAGAATAAATTCCAGCAGGCTTTCATATCTTGAGTCACGATGAAGGGCCCCTGGCCAAAGAGCCTACACTTCTGGGATTTCATCAAAATAAAATGATGTCAACCATGAGTTTTACCTGTAATAATAGCTTTCTATTTCAGTGTAGAATTTCTAATTTGTGATTGACCTGTATGCATCTCTGAACAAAATTGCAGCACTCAACATCTTGTATCAATTACTGCTGTTGAAATGATAAGATATACAGGTAAAATACACGGTTGGGATATTTTTGCTTATTGCTGCAGGCATTGACAATATATGTTGCAATATTTGTTGCTTTTTTTCCAGCTTACAATTTGAACAGCACTATCCATGAACTCAGCATCTCTCACTAAAAGGGAGGTTATTAAGGTGGCGATAAGGCTTGTTTTAACGAGACAGATATAAAATTTGAATACACAGTTTTAATGCATTTAGCTGTCATGATCTGGCCTGTTTGCTCCTCCCTAATTAGTAATTCCTCTCACCTGCCGTTTTCCCTCCCTGCCTCAATTACAATTTATTCCCCTCACCTGTTTCCTCTGGTTTAAATTCAGTTCTCCCTGAGCATTCGGTGCCAGATCATTTCTTGTCTTTCTGTCAGTCTGTCTGTCCAGTTTTAGTTCATGGTTCATGTCCTGGATCCTAGCAGCCAGTGGAAAGAGGGTTTTTGTGTTTGTCTCGTCTCCTGATCGTCCACTGTTCCTCCCCCGTGGAGTCCTCTGGGTTTTTGGCTCAATATGTGGGGAGGTTCAGTTTTTATCCAGTAAGCCTGGCTCCAGGGAGGAGACCAGTTTAAAGTCCTGCTTCAAGTTCTGGTTCCACGTCCTGTCTCGGCTACCCTCTTCCACTGAGCCTGCCTGTCTGCACCTGATCCTGTCTGCTCCTGTGCGTGACCACCTGGTCATGCTTCTGGTCCCCGTCTGACTCTGAACCCTCCTGGGAGCCTGTGGATGCCTGGAAGTCTGGATCCTGCCACCTGTTTCTGTTCCTGCCTGATCTGGATCCTGCCTTTCCATTTGGCAGTGCACTAGAACATTCCGGGATTGCCTAATATCTTCTGCAACCAGAAATGTTTTTTGAGAGTTAAATGTGTCACTCTTGTGAGCAAAGGTAAAGTTAAGTCAAGGTGATTGATGCATCCAATATACAGTTACCATCCAACAAATAATGAAATGCATCAAAACAAAGACATCACACGACATGTGCCAAAAGTACTTTACAACCGTTTTTTAAATGACTAAAACAAATTTACTTTGGTTATTTTTTCATCAGATGCATAGAATCTGCTGGCCTCGTGAGACCATCCTGATCTCGTGAGCTTTCAAGATTTCACTCGCTAATCAGTCTGGAGACTCTCCGTTGAAGAAAATTTGGAGCCGTTCACCAAACGAACGTCCAATCAGCGTTGGCTTTGAGGCGGGTTGAGGTGTGACGCAACGAGAAGCGCGACAGTTCAGTCTAAAGAACATGGCGGCTTCAGCCGATGAAACTAGCATTAGCGTGGCTATCGAGCAAGTTTTACACTGTATTTCTTCACTGAAAGAAGAGCAAAACACTGCTCTGTAGGCTTTTCTCAGAGGAAAAGATGTTTTTGCTCTTCTCCTGACTGGTTTCGACAAGAGTTTGATCTATCAATTGGCTCCTCTTTGTCGTCGCTCTGTTACGTCATATGCTTCGTTGATCTGATTGGTTTATTTGGCCCGTCTATCACCAACATAGGCCAATCAGCTAACCAGTATTTTCGCCCCTTCCCAAAATTACTTCAACGGAAAGTTTCCAGATGGATATGCAGAGCAAATCCATCTGGCGGAGTCAGGTTAGGAATATGCATGGAACAACTTATAAGTACATTTTCCCAATTCAACAGTATTTTTGTAGTAGAACTGGCTACATTTTTTCCACTGAATTCATGTAAATATTTTTTCCAACTTCAGTTGGCATACTTTGTAAACAAGCTCATTGGGAAAAGTCATCAGCTGGCTGTGGTGTGGGCATCAATAATTGTGTTCTATGTTCACACATGAAGTGTGAGTAGACCCGTCACTTCCAACACCTCAGCATCACGATAAAATCAGTACAAACTATTTTGTAATACCCAGAGGTGTCAAGTACTTAAGTACTTTTCAGGTATCTATATTTTACTACATTACTTATTTTTCTTCCTACTTCTAAATTCTACTAATTACTTTTTTACACGTACGTGTATCAGTATTTTCTAATACTTACATTTTTAAAACAAACATTACTTGTTACCATTGGCTTCGGTTTAATGTTTATAAATATTTATTTCACGTCATGTGCGCCATCCAATGAAGATCATTGGCGCCGTTCACATCTAGTGAAAACTAGTGTAATTGGATGAGTCATATAATGCAAACACTAATTCTTTAGCTATTCGTCAAATTTGTGCTGACGGCAAAGGAAATCATCAGAGGCAAGCAGGTGTTCTTCAAACTGCAAACGTCAATTGTCTATGATGTCGAAATGTCTGAAAGGTCGGACACAGGCGAGAGCGTATCTGGAGATGGAGACCAACAAGACCTCCTTCATCCTTGGCCCAACTCTTTGAAATAGTTGAAAAATTGAGCTTTTAATTCATATTGTGGCATCTGGCTTGTTTTTTAAAGGTTATTTTATACTTTTATACTTTAAGTAGTTTTTGAACACACACTTTGTCACTTTTAGTTGAGTAAAGAGGTCAGGTTTTTAGACTGCAGTATCTATACTTCTACTTAAGTAACAAATATGTGTAATTCTGACACCACTGGTAACAACGTTTTAGCCATTTTGAAACTATAACTGTTGATCAACTCCATGCATAGTTGATGCAATGCTAGATGGTCTCTAAAGCAGCCAATAAATACTAGCTGCTGAAATGATATTGATGATCAGTTAAAGATAACTACACCTCTGAGACAGAAAGCAAGAACTAAAGAAAAGCAGCCTAATTGATTATTGAAACACTTCATAACTCATGTTGAAGTTATCAGAAAATATAAAGTGAAGGTAAGGGTATGAAATGGAGACACTAACTGCATTTTGTGAAGGATAGAAACAATAAGACGTGTCTTGATGGTGGACATTAGGAATAAAATGCTGTGTAAGACTTGGGCCTCATCGCTTTATACAACTCACGTTCGCACACCCACCCAGACACAGGGGCACAAACTCCCACACACACTTTAGGTATAAGCAACTCACGTTCGCTGCCACAGCCCAAGAGCTACCGCAGGAATATTTATTGGCTACCGGCTCAATGGCTGTATTGAAGAGAAGGATTGAAAGGGGAGGGGAGGGAGGAGAGAGATAGAAAGAGAAGGGGGGGTAGGAGCTGTTGCCGCTTCTTCTCATCCTCCCTGTGAGCCACTTTCTGTTTCCCCGCATCACACCACGCACACACACCAACGCGACACCTAGCAGACATCCCCGCGCGCACGCAGACGCACTCTCACGCACAGGTACACTGTAGGCTTGCAGAGGGGGGGAATGCATCTTTTTTACTCCTATGCAAAAGAAAAAGTATAAAACTGCGCGTGGGAGGAGAGGCGTGAGGGGGATCACCCGCACATACATGTGCGCTCATACATGGGTGCGCGTGCGTCAGCGCGTCTGATGGGATGTCGCATCCTCCTCCTTACCTTGAGCGCGCGAGGAGAGCGAGCACAGCACAAGAGTCCAGAGAAAATAGCGCATCGCCGTCATCCCTCCGTCCGTCATCCTCCCGTTCATCCCTCTCGTCTTGGTTGTTGCCCTCTTCATCATCAGCATCCTCCTCCTCCTCCTCCTACCCGAAGAGGGAAGCGCGAGACAGCGTTCTGTGCCGCTATTAGCGAGATTATTTGCATCAATACATCTTCCGCGAGCCAAGCGCGAGCCCTCTAAGCTCTCACCGGGCCGCATGCTGCTTCACATCCAGCAAACGGAGGGGTGGGGGGGATTGGGGGTGAAAAAGAGAGAGAGGGACGCGTTTTTTTCTTCTTTTTTGTTTTGTTTTTTTCTTTGGCCCCTTCTAACAAATACTATATAAATCCCTCATATCCAAAAAAAAAATGAATTCAGTGAACATCCACAGAGAGAGAAAGAAGGGGGTAGAGTGGGGAAGCAGAGACGCAGAGTGCGCTTTAGGGACGAGCGCACAGGTTGCCTCTCCAACCTGCGCTTTCGATGGCTACCGTCAGTAAATGTGTGCTCTCATCAGTTCCATTGCAATACTAAAAGTGACGAGGAGCTTCAAATCCACACTTTTCCCAGCCGGCATCCCATCTTCATTCTGGAAATTCTAATCTGTGACGTTTTGTGCTGTCTTCTATTAAAAATAAGTCCAACTAAATCCCCGCGGCTCTTCTCGGGATTCGTTTAGCACTACAGCGTGTCACAAATCGATAGAGATGCTTGTTCTTTATTTCTTTCCTGACCGGTTAATCCTCTTCTGCCTCCCCCGTCTCTTGACTCATGCGTCTGTGAGACCTTCTGCGTTCCTTTTTTTTCCTCTCCTCTTGCAGACTAGCAGGGAAAAGTCTGCATCTTTACCTCCTGGAATAAAAGATATCCGTTATTCTCACGATTCCCTCTTCCCACTGACTTCTTCTGAAAAAGGCTGTATCAAAAGTCACTCCTTTTGGCATATCCTAACCAGACAAAGCAAAAAAATAAAAAATAACAATAAAATCAGGCTTGTTCTTTTCGTCAAAACAGTCCATTTTTAATTATGTCTGAAGAGCCAAACAGTCCAATAAATCATTTCTTTTATCCAGAAGAGAGACGCATCCTTCCCATCTGCTCAGATCGCTCTTCTCTCCTGCTGAAGCAGTTTGGTGCGTCTCCTTCCCCTGCCTGCCGCTATACAAAGATGCTGGATTCAAGAGCTCCTCGTACGTAAGCTTCCCGCTCCCGCACCGATTCACGTGGTCTGCAGTATATGGGTCGGAAGAATGAGTTAGAAAAAAATTACTTCAGCAGACTAAATATTGGATATCTTATTTAGATTATAAAATATTGAGGTTTGAAAAATGTTGAAATTGTAAACATGTCTGGATCTTTGTCACAACTCAAACTTCACCAATAATCGGACTAAATCAATTGATAAAATAGAGACAACCATGGGCGTAGGTTTGCTAGGGACCAGAGGGACAGGTCCCCTACCAAAATTTTGGCCCAACCTTTTTGTCCCTACCAATAATTCTATGTGAATAACACGTTTATGATTTACAACAGTGTTGTTGCAGCAGTCGCTTCTTTTCTCACAACTTGTATATTGAAGTTAATATTTTAAATGCTCAGTCTCAGTTCCTCTTATAGTTTCCACACCCATATAAATACAATAAATCTATTTGCAGTCCCTTGAATGTTATTTTGCAACACAGAGAATATCAGGATATCAGATAAATACACAAACAGGCATATTTAGACTATATTTGGTTAAAAGGGGAACATATTTACCTTCCGTCTTAGTCACTGGTAAGTTCAAATGTAACCCTTTTCAAAGTGTTAAGTTGTCCCAATTTTACATTATTCCAACCAACTGATGCATCAAACACCGATAAAAGGCATATTGTGTGTGTAGTGCTTACAAAATTTGTATAAATGTAGCAAAAAAGGCTGTTTTCTCTTTAAACGAAATGCGCCCTGATGCTCACATCAAGCATAAAAAAAAAACATTCATAATGGAACATTCATAATGAGTACGACCAATGACATCAGACCAACTCAACTTAAGACCAATAGTGTCTCTACCGAATTTGAAATCAAAACTATGACCTTGGGGACAACCATCTCAGTTGTACCAATAATGGGAACCAGTGGCTATATCAATATCAGCACTGTTCAAGGTCTGATTCAGGCCTATTTGGCTCCCTGGGCACAGAGGCGGTTCTAGACCAAATGTACCAGGAGCCCAGTAGGGGGCCAGCCTCCTTTCATGGGGGCACAGAACATCAAGAAATAAAAAACAGGGCAAGGGATTCAAATATGTTAAGATAGCTGCATGAAGTGAAATTTCTATTCAATTAGGTTTAATTCAAATTCTATGTCTTATTAGGTCAATATACATTCATAATTTAGAAATTTTACATATTTTTGACTTAAGTTAAGTTAAAATTACCGTTTTCTGTAATATCTGAATTAGAACTCAAGAAAAACTGATAAATTCAGCAGTAAAAAAAACAATTGGCAGATGAAAAATGGGATCTTATCTCAATCCCACTGAAGCTGTCACCTTATTGTTTTTAAATAATTAGTAAAACAGAATTTGTAAAGCAAAGAAATGAAATAGATCCAAAGGACCTGTCAGTAACCATGTCTGTTCCAGCGCAGATCATTATTAGAATTTCTCTCAGTATTATGTCTTCAGTACAGGGGCCAGGACATGATCTACAGGGGCACTGGCCCCTGTTGGCCCCTGTGTAGAACCGCCCATGCCTTGGCATGACGAGGTTTTGGTCACCTTTATTCTCCAGCTGTCTATAGGCGGGAGGTTGGGTACACCCTGGACAGGTCGCCAGTCCATCGCAGGGCAAAACAGTAACAAACAGGAAAACAACCATTCATACACACATCTAAGGAGTATTTAGAGAAACCAATTAACCTAACAGTCATGTTTTTGGAGTACCCAGAGTGAACCCACACATGCTCAGGGAGAAAATGCAAACTCCATGCAGACAGGGAAATCGAACCCAGATCTTCTTGCTGCAAGGCAGCAGTAGTACCTACTGCTTCACTTGGTAGCACAAGACATTTATAATAGTTTTTAATTCAACCAGTAAGTGTGTCTGGGATCAAGTAAAAAACAAACTATCATTATTGAGCAACTTTTTGCACACTTCCACCTTGCCACCACCATTATCCTTACAGTAGCTATCTCTCCACAGATTTACTTTAAGATTTAAATTAGCATTTACAATATCACATCATAAAATTTAGTGGGAAGTTTACTACTGCAGAAAATAAAGTATGACTACATTTTTATTTGTCTTTTCGATTATTATGATCAATAAACAGGCTACAAAGCACATCCACAGACATTTTCACAAACCAACGACTATCTGGGCTTCAGTGTGTTTTACAACTGCATTTAAACACATGCTTTATCACCCTTTTTTATGGTTATTTGGAACACCTGGTCTTTGTCTTTATTTAGCTCAGACGTCTCTTAAAATTATGACTTTAACTCTCATCTCCCAGACAGATTTAGCTTAAACCAAAACTTTGAAATCTCTTTCTCGTTAAATATTGAATCAATTCAAAGAGACTTTCATCCAAATTTTGATGGTTATTTACTTTTAAACAGATTTTTATGTTTCAAAAAGAGAAATGCCTGTCCAACAAGGAATTACCTTGAGGAAAAGAAGATAATTAAAGAAAAACGTATTACTTAGAATTTTACTAGGAGTAAAAGAAGTGAAATCTATCATTGCTTGATCTAACTATTGAGAATTCACTTGTTGTGCTTATCTAAAAAATACAAATAAAAGGCCAACAATAATTGCTGTTTAAACACTTTTTGGACACTTTTTTGTTTTTTCATTGACATATTTTGATTGTTGTATTGAAATGCTGTAAATGTGTTGCACATTAAATTAAATGATCAGCAGTTTATTTAAATTTGGTTCAAAATGTGAAACTTGTGTTTTTATACAAAAGCCTCATGACACATAAAGTAAGCAATTTAAAGTAATTAATTTGTAATTATATTTATGCCTTGAAACTAAATTTGAGCAACTATGAACTTCCTTGGTTGTGGTTACACCTACTTTTAAGGTCTTCAGCTTTTTCTGCTTAATCATAATTGCCTTGAGGCTTTGGTAATTGTGTTTCATGTGTACCTTTCTTTACCATAATGTCTCCCTCTACTCAACTTTACATTCATTTTCTTAGAAAAGAAAAAAAAAATCTTATGGTACAATTTTCCTTTATTATATATTGTTCCTGGGTAATATTCTGATTTTCTGGAGAACTGTTTTTTGTTTTTTTGTTTTTTGCTGTAATAATCAATAATCAAGATCTTGAAACATATCACTTGGTATTTATTAAAACTATGATATATTTTACTGTCATATTTAGAATAGAATTACTAAAATAGGATTCTTTGATGATATTGTGATGTATTGACATGTGGAAGTGTTTAGAGCAGTGCGTCTGTGCTCTGAGAAGTTTGCAAGTACCCGGTTTAAGCAGTGTGGGGGTAAGGGTCTAAGCAAGACCCTAAACCCCCACACTGCTCCCCGGGCATCACACAATGGCAGCCCACTGCTCCCCAAGGGGATGGGTTAAATTCAGAGGTAAATTCGTCCAATGTGAGATAAATAAAGTACAATTACTGTCAATTATTATTTAAGTATGTTCTTCAGTTTAGTCTTTGACATGTAGACTTTTAGAAACCAGCTCTAACTGTGTCCAATCACAACCAAAAAGCTCTGCCAAACTGAATTAAAGTACTGAATCACATAAAGAACAATATTCGATATTACGTCGAAGAATATGCAAAGAAATAGGGTATAGGAATATGATTCATCACAAAGCAGCTACACAGAATATATGCAAATCTCATTTCAGAAATTCATGTTTTTAAGTCAGCTGTATTCTCCTTCAGTCATATTACAAATTAAATTGCTCTTGGTTTTTATTCTCAGATGTATTCCATATGACTCTGCATCCAGCTTCAGAGAAATCTTCCAGCTTTTTAAAGATTTTCAATGTGGCTTCCTGAATCCTTGGAGGGAAATCTCTGCACAGACAGGAATATCTTTGGCGGGTAAGCTGTAAAAAATGCATGTGTGAGAGTGTTAA